TGGTGGGGGGTGGGGGCTGGGCCTCAGGGGCTGGGCAGCTCCCTGAGGAGCCACTGGCTTTCTGGGGCCTCGGAGGCTGCAACTGCCTCTGGGGGAGGGACCGGCCTGGACCAGACGGTGGGCAGCACGGACCCTGAGGGGCCCCTTCTCTGGGGTTCATGGGGCAGGGGGAGCAGCTGGATGCCAAGGAGAACTCTGCCCACCAGCCACCTCCTGGGCCCCAAAGACCCCCCGCAGCCCGAGGGAGTTCACGTCTGACCGCAGGGGCCTGAGCAGTCCCTCTCGGGGCTGCGGAGGGGACACTGCCCACAGTTACCGCAGCCCGTGGAAGGGCCCGGAACACCACGCCACCCAGCCACCGGCAGCCGCCAGTCACATGTGCTAACATCTGTCTGCACACCCCCACACATGCACATACATGCACATGGGTGCACACATGCATCTACACACGCACACACGTGCGCCCTCTTTTTTGCAGCGCCCCGTGAGGTAGGCACAAGAGGACCCGTGGCTCCGATTCCTGGATGGGAGAACCGAGGCAGAGTGGGAGCCCCCCCCCGCCCCTGTGCACGGGGCGCCCCCAGCCCACTGACTCACCGGGGGGCCCCCTTCTCCGGGAAGGCCAGGCTCTCCAGCTTCGCCAGGCTCGCCCTGAGGAGGAAACGCGGTCACGTGGGGCCGAGAGCAATGGCTCCAACACCCGGGTTCTTCACACACACGCGCGCACACGCATGCACACACATGTGCACACACACACATGCACACGTGCGCACGCCCTCATGGGACACGGTGACGTTGGGGGCGGGAGTCACCTTCTCTCCCACCGCTCCAGGGTTGCCTATTCCTCCGGGGGGACCTTGCGGCCCGTCAGCACCTGGCGCTCCAGAGGGTCCTCGGGGGCCGGGGGGGCCTGGGGGGCCCTAGGAGACGGAGAGCATTGGACACGGAGAAATGCCGACTTGGCCGAAATCGGAGCCGGCCGCCCGGCCAGGTCCCGGCACACTTACCATCTGGCCCACGTCCCCCGTCTCGCCCTTCTCTCCCGGAGGCCCCGGCAGACCCTGCGAACAGGAGGGGGCTGAGCAGGG